CTGCTGCATCACACAGTATCAACCCTGGTGAATCGATGTGGCCAATAAGCCGCCGTTTCCCCTCAAAAAAAAAAATTATTTCTACTGACAGGACAATTTTTTTTTAATTATTACATTCTTCCTTCCTCTGAAGGCACATAAAAATCCCCTCCTATCAAAAAAATCATAAAATTTACTTTAAACTAATCTCAAGTTTTTGAACCCTCATGGAAAACTTTTTGGCCTCCCCGCCAACAATTTGAGTGTGATCCCCCATTAACAAGAAGCATCCGTGAACCTTGTTACCTTCATTAAGCATTCAGACTTATTCTCATGCACACACTTCTCACCTGACAATGCAGAACAGGTTGATGTTGGCGTTGTAGACGGAGAAGTCGATGATGACCGCCCGGGTGCCTCGGTCCAGCCACAGGTTCTGCTTCAGCTCCTGGATGATGGCCAGGGACTCTGCCTTGTCGTGGGTGAGGTCGACGTAGAAACCGCCCCCGCTGTAGGTAGCCAATTTACCGGCGTGGCCGGAGCCATCTAAGCTCTCCTCTGAGCTGTGTTCCCACCTATGATGCGTTACGGCAGGAAGGTTGCATTAAATATTTAGCATATTTAACAGCTGCAAGGCAAGACATTTGTTCTGCTTCAAAATGTGACTGAACAGACGAGTATCTTTTCGATTTCAGAAAAAATGGTTGTGTTGCCAAAAGGTCTTTCTTATTACTTTTGTTACTTACAGCAGTACAGTAGTCTATGTTTGAGTCTCAAGAATATTACGCATCATTTACGGACCAAAAACATTCAGACATTGACGGGCCGATTGTCTCAACACAATTAACAGTGACATCTTACGCAGTTCCGTTCATGAGTCCAAAAGCCTGAGTGTCCTCCACACTCTCCGAGTAATCGGCGTAGCACTGCCTGATGTCCTCGCGGAAGTCAGTGTGGACGATGCAGGAGTCGTTGGTCACCTTGACTTGGCGGATGCGGGGCACTCCCAGCAGCTTGTTCTCGTAGTAGATGTAGCCTAGGGAATCGCTTGTGACGTTGTCGTCATTGTACCACTTCTCCCAAAACAGGCCGTCGACCAGCGGGGTCTCAGCAAACTGAGGAGACGGGGGAAATAACCGAGGAAGAGTTTTCAGAAAAGCTTTTGAAAACAGAACTAGAATTTAATATACGATTTGCAATTTTGGTCATGACAAACTTCTCGTCAGCATGCAGCCTGGTATCTACCTACCCGCCAGAAATCTTTCATGGTTGTAAGGCCACGGAATGTATTCTTTGTGTCTGGAAACTGGGCATCCAGGAACAGCTCTGACATGACTTTGGTGTAGTAGTACATCGTTGGCTTGGTCATTCCGAAGGTCACTGGCAAAGAGAAAATAACAATACCGTGTCTTGCCTTTGCTTGTTTGATACAAAAGCCCAAACATTTATTGATAGATATATAAGTACACCACGAAAGCTTGATCCTCAAACCCTCAACTCAAATAAAATGACTGATTATTGGAATGCAATTATTGAAGAATTGTTTCAGTAGTCTCCAAATTATCCCTTTCAGAATTTTTTTCTAGGAATTTTCTTGAATCTGTCAAAATCAATCAAATACCTATTGCTGTAGCACCTTCTTTGGACATCACATGGCTGAAATTGAATTCAACACATCAAGACCAATGCAAGAAAATGATACTTGGGATCCAACGTTCTAAAGCCATCAAGGTAAAAACTGGTATCTGCATTTTGTTTGAATTTAATGAGGCTTTAGCCAATAAGTGACATAAAATTTACGTAAATATTATAGTGTTCAAAATATTGGCCTAACGTAAGTCACAATGTTGTAAATAATAACAGAACTCAACAAAGGTTAAAAAAAATTATGTCAGAGCAAAAGTACACCATGATTTAGTCTTTTAAAATGTTAACATTTTATTACCTAAAAAGGCTTCGTCTAAAAGTAAAAATTGGTGCAACTGAATTTTTTCCTTTCTGTCCAAACTAACTTTTGTAGTATTAGTCTACTGATGTCTCTAGGAGGTTTACCCAAAGTTCTTCCAAGCACAAACAATCTTTGGCAGGGAGTGGGATATCTATGGCCTGAAGTTGCTGAGATCACACAAGACAAACACCATCACCACTGGCCATACATTCCGCAGCACCCCTTACCTTTCATCCCAACGCAACACAAAGCCTGCATTGTTCACTGATGCATCAATGGATAACCACAATAAGTCTAAATTCTCCCTACTGTATCCCTGCACCTGGACCCTCCTGCCTTCAGGCACCTGTATTGTGGCTATTTCCATATAGCTGTCTGTGCTCATCAATAATTAAAGTATGCTGCCTTTGAAGGGGCTCCTCTTGCCTATTCTCGGCGCACATGCAACTATGTGTCTACTGTTTTCATGTCAGTAATGTGGCACATCATGCAATTCCAGTAATGGCCATGGCAGCGAGGCAAGATATTTTACTCAACTGTGAGACAAGTTTAACACTTGTCCAGCGGCTTAAACAATGGTTTTATGAACAAGCATGTCAAACTCGGTCTGAAAACATCTCAGAACACCTCTTAGTTGAAGTAAACTGCAGGACTACAGTACAAACTGATCATTTTCAACTGGACATTCTTTGTGGCTTCACTGAAAATGTCACTTGTACTGGTTTATTTCTCCTGATGACAAATTTTAGGATCAGCAATAAAAAAGAAAAGCATAACAAAGGAATTCAAGCTTAAAATCCTTTCAAATGTTACATTTGGCAAAATGTTAAGCTTACAGTACATTAGGGCGTCCATAGTTAACTCTCTGGCTCTGATATTTTTTATCACCTGAAGGATCAGTCAGATGGAGAATGAAAGGGATAGAAAAATCTACTTGCGTGTCCCCTGAAATTCTTTACGTTATTCCTTTTTTTTCATTTCCATTCTTAGTGAGAAATTCCAGACAGGGTCAGTGGCATTAATAAAAGTGTTTACTTTTCCTTGGTTGGAGCCAACATTAAGGGTTGCTCAGAAATCAATCCCATAGAATTTAAGGTACGGTCCAACATTTCCAGTAAGTCCATAAAGTAACTGATGAAATTACTATAAGTATATTTGTTATGGGACTAAACTCCCGTTGGAAAAATTCTTTGGGGACAGCTGCAATTTGGAAGAAGGGTCATTCTATAAATTTGGGGTCCATTTTTTCTGTCCCTGTTACATCTGGCATTTGATTTATAATGTTTAGAAGTTATTGTTTAATTTCAAAGACTGAATGAGCACTGCAAATTACCTGCTTAACAAATAAAAATAGTTTGAAATGAATTTCAGTGATACTTCCCTTGTCAAACTTGTCAGATGGTATACAGGTTAGAGATAAGAGAAATGGAAAAATGTTACACGCTGGACGCCAAATTTACGACATGACCCAGAAAGTAATGAAAGAATGCCAAGTTCACTGTCAATGCTGCAAAACACACAAGTATTGATAAGAAGGTCAGTATAGTTGCTACAATTTGTCCGTTCAGCGTGCAACATCACGTACATTCTAACTACTATCAGCTGAATAAGAACGTGTCCAGGACGCTGAATTTAAGTACAATTCAAACTCAACTTTTGATTGGGAATTGAGATCCTAGAATACTGTTTTTCTTGGAATATTGAGCATTCAATGAGCTCAAACTTCGTAAGGTTTTGTTGTATAAAAGCATATTTCTTTACATATTGAGCAATTTTATTGCCTTAAATTAACATAATGCAAATATGAGAAATAACAGATTGTGCCTTTAACCACAGACACCCTAAGCCCGTTGTTGACAGATACATTTCTGTTCCACATTTTCACTGTGATTATGAATCTCAATCCAAAGAACTGAAATTTCAGGCTCTTCACAAATAAGGAATTTAAATAACAGTGACGATCAGCTTTTCCTACCAAAAAAAACCAACTATTTTGAGACTGGTGTCGACCCCTTATTGATCTGCATTCAGTTGTCTAGTTACAGACCGACGTCGCACATACTGGCGCACATTTTGTGACTACAAAGGAAGACACTTGTAAGACACAAGTGAAGGTTAAAACTCGTTTCAATTATAAACTGATCATTCAAGGCAAAACGCTGCGCACAGTGAGTATGGGCATACACCGCAGCAATGCTACAGGAGTTGATACATCAGTTGAGTACGCACACACACACATGCCCAATGGCGCACGGCAAATCAATCGTAGCCATGGCAACTGGCAACAACAGGCCAGTTGTGATGGCAACCGCTTCTACGGTTGAATTGAAGATGGCAAATGCACCAAGCACTCGCCGTGCATTTATATTAATGAGTTTTCTGACACAAGGCGAACCAGCACACAGACATGGCTGTGTTGACGTATGTTTGCTTCAACAAACACACCACTACGAATTTCGAACATTGAACGATTCATAAGCCTACTTCAATCAAATCCAACTATTTTTCACTCACAAAATGCCATGTGATCATTTTCATGCAATGGAGAGTCTGTCATGCAGGTCTTAATTAAAAACCCCAATCATTTTCATCTGCAAATGGCAGGTTTTCAACAATTCAACATACTTACATAAGCACAGAAAGACCAGAAAGACCAGATAGATGATGAGTTCTCTCAAGGTGGTCTTAACGTGCAACTCCTTGTCCTGTCTTGTGTCGTCTGTTTGCCTGGTCCGCCAAAGAGCTAAAATGATAAAATAATTTAATAAAATAGAAGAAAAGAGTATACAATGTGTAAGAATGACGAGAAATCAAACACACTGCCAGGATTTTCAGGCATTGTTTGAATGCCGCTGAAATTTCACCTGGTTTGAAAAAAAAGACCCATGTAACACTTTTAATACACTGAATCTTTATCAAACTTGATTTCATCTTCAAGTCAGTTCACGCAAAAAAATTGCTGTACACATGTACAATGTACATGTGTATATCCTCAGAACTGAATTGTCAGAATTTACGATTTCCTGTTTTTATATATGTACATGTACACCGTCCATGTACACCGTCCATGTACACCGTCCATGTATTTCCGCTACCCTTTTGCCACTGGAGACATTTCCAAGTTCTGTTTCACCAATAACTGCGCAAGTCAAAAATTTCAAAGTTTCACTTGGTGTGAAAGTTTTCCAACTTTTTTTAAATTTTAAAATCAACCAATCAATTAGATTATAGAACTTTAGTTAATAATTAGGGAAGATTTGCACTAAACCTCAAAGCAAAATATTTTGTTCAGGATGTCCCTCCGTTTGCTATTTCAGAATGCTTCAAAAATCATTTTTTTTCCGACTGGATTAGCAAAGCTTTGTCCTTCCTTTCCTTTACGCTTCTCCTGCAATAATGATTCAGAATACATTTCCACTTCAACAGTGGTTTCCTCTGAGCGGCATGTAGACGCACATACACATGTTGGAACCAGTAATACTTATTTCATGCAAGAATAAAAAGGGGCAGGACACGAAGCAATTTGTCTCGCCTGTAACAAAGCCAAAAAAAAAACTTTCTGCCTCGGGACAAAAGTATGCACATAATGACGTAAATGCATATGCGTTTACAAAAATTAAAACTGAGCACATTTTTTATGAAGTCCACATTTTCACCTTAGTATTTTATATTGTGCTTTACATATTACTGGGGGTGGAGCAGGGGTAGGGAAGGGGTGGAGGTAGGGGTGGGGGTGTAAATTTAGAATTACAAAATCCAGCTGCTTTCAGATTCATGAAAGACTGCTGCATTCTTATGACTTGACATTAACAAAAGGTTAAGCCGATCAAGTCAAAGTATTGATTGGCAATGTAATATTTTTTAAAATGACCTGTTTTTAATAATGCATTTTCATGGTTCTTGCACGGATGTTTCTATGTAAGCTGTCGCTCTTGTTCTTTCTAATGTCCTTGCTTCTTCCCCTGTTTATTAAAATATTGATCTGTGTGACTTGTTACTGCCATCAATTATTCATCTGACGCAAGTTGAATACAATGTCTTGCCTGTCCAACATCACTGTTGTCAGCGTTTGCCGGGGCTATCTATTCTTTTTCTCCATCAGATGTGGGACCCATCTGGCAGAGGGCAGATCAATAAAACCTGTTGTGGTTGCTGAGCTGGGGAGGAACCAATCGTTAATTTCCCAGGCCTTGATTATGCAAAAGACAGCTTACATCAGATGGCAAGACGCTCTCAAAACAAGGCACATAGTGACAAGTAATAACTGGCAATGATTCTTAGATAGATTACTGGTCAGTATTCTTTTTTTTAAATGTTGAAAAATAGTTGGAAAAAAATGAACAAAGCATTTTTGGAGGGTGTGGGGTCCGTGGATTTTTTATGAGAAATAAAATTTTGTTTTAAAATTTGAAAAACTTCAATTTCTGCGGTAGACGTCTTCTGAGTTCTACTGATATTTAAAAAAGAATGATTCGTTACATCACAAGCAAAAGGTCCCAAGTGAAAAATGATTTCCCAACTCTACAATGTACAATTTTAAAAATCCATCACTTTAAAGTTTCAAGAGCTACTACTACATAAGTGTACCAAATAACTTAAAAAATTTCCTTTAATAATTTCACTTTAACCTTGAACTTACAATTTTATTACCTTTGAAAACTTAATTGAACACCGTTCCTTGGGTGGGGGGGGGAGATTGGCATATCAAGTCCCTTTCAAACTTTAAAAGCAATTGTGCCAAATCTCTGGTCCTAAAATAGTCAAAACAATTCAGGGAAATATGTTTGGGTGTGTTTTCCACGAACAATAACATCATTTTTATACAAGCAGCACCCGCAACCAAGCAACCAGAGAAGCAAGTCTGAAATAACTACCCAACCGGTGTTTGGAAATTCACTGACTGCATCAAGCTTAAAGGTTACATTCAGAAACAACTGGAAAATCTGTCCATGAGACATGTTCATCCTGTCACCAAAGTGACTTGGTCGATAAGTCAGATGTACTGTAAAGCTCGCAGAAGTATACGTCCATGATGTCAAGTAAAAATGACAGCTCCACAAGAAAATCTAATGCTAGATTAGTTGGATATGTATGTTTTTGGATGGATCAGTTTGATTGTACTATATGCTTTTTGCGTAATTGACATTTGGACGATTTGTAGCTCCAATGAATTACATTGGTTTTAGAAGTATTAGCTCGACTGGGAGCTAACTGATATTTGAATAGGAGACTTTTTGCATTAAAGCCATGTGGCAATGGTCAACAGAGGACTACGTTGGCTATAGACCACTCTCATTTTGCATACAACTTGTATGGGCTGCCAAAGTTTGCGGACATATCACTGTTTGGTGGATTTTCGATTTGACCTCATATTTTTTCAAAATTGACGTCCCATTAATTTTAAATGTGTATTATCATCTGAGGTTCAGGATTTTTAACACTTTGTGTATAGTTCTTTACTTTACCGACGGCCAACTACAGTTTTGGCAGCCACTTAGGAAAAACACAACTGTAATGTCAAAAAGAGCAGACCCTATTTTTTGTCTTTTGGTCAGACTATCAGCCTACCCGAAAGCATTTGAAAGAAGAGCTAACATCGGCCCCGTAAATATGGCTCAAATATTGGACTAACTCCATATTAGTAATCCACGCGACACATTGGCTGTGTGACGACAGTTCATTATTTTCTGAAAATGGAAAGGCCAATTTCAAACCTTTACAACAGCTAAAATACAAAATTTTAGTAAGAGGTTTTTTTTTCAATTTTAAAACATCTCAACAAACAGATGTCAATTTCGACAATTTGAAAGATACATTGATTGATGTTGATGAATGGATATCAGACTGAGGCAAAGTAAAGTCTTTTACTTCATTTCTTGGAACTTTTGAATTAGAAATCAACACACGTGTTGGATCTGTAGTATAAAACTACTGTCCAAAATTATCTTTTTATCATTAAGAGGCCAAGTCTTCTAACACAGTTGAAGGACTGATGATTAATTTTGTAAATATTGCTAGAAAAGGTGAAATTCTTAACAGTTTTATATTTGAAGACATAGGCCTACATAACTTTATATACAGAAACAGATTCTTAAAGATTGCTATTGAATCTGACCATGGAGGAAGCGAAGGAAATCTGACAACATTCAACACAAACTAGGCCTATGAAAAAGTATTGAAAAATGTTCAGAAATGAGAAATTTATAACTTTCTTGGGGTATAAATTTCACACAAATAGACCTGTAAGTTTAAACATGTTAGAAATAAACGATGTGGAGGTCTAGTCACTTACATCTGATGGCTCTCTTGACTTTCGTCCAGCATCCTGCCTTAGCCTGCTCCGCCTTTTGTTTAGCAACCTTCGGGTCAATGGTGCGAATCTCTCCGCCGACATACAGCTCGCTCTCCATGGCGGTGGGCGCGTTACCCGCGTCCGCATCCCCATCCTGCTCCCCGTAGTCATCCCCGTAATCTCCGTCGATGGCTTTCTCCTCGTTACCGAGATCGAATCCCTCGTTGTCACTCCAAGCCTGCCGAGAAGCCGAGCTAGAAGGCCGCCGCATCCCGTCGTCCAGAATCTTGTCCATCTCGACTTCGTCTTGTGGAGTCAGCCTTCCGGCGGTCGAACCACCGGTTACTGGTCGCGGACTTACCCGCCTTGATGTCATAATTCCCTCGATAATCTAACGACCAGGTTGGGTTACAGTTTCTTGTTGACACGAAGACAGTTTAAAACTACTTTGGCCAACGATTTAAACAAAATTCAGGGACTAAATCTGAGCGTTGCCATCATTTCCTCACCGCTGACAGACGTCACGAAT